ATCTCAATATTTTAACAATTTTTTACATCTTTTTGTCCTTTTATACTTAGCATAACCTCTTCTATTGCAAGGTTCCTTTGCTTTATTAACAACAAAAATGTGTGTGCAACTTTTCTGTAGGAGATGTTGTCTTGTGCCTGTTTTATTGAGGTGGATGGGTTTGGTGTTTAATTAAATCCAATTTAATTATAGCAAATTAACATTTTTAATAGTCCATGGCTGTGCAGAAAAGCACTGTGAAGCAGTCCTAAACATATCCATTAAAGTTACAAGTGCTTTTCTGCTTATTAATGTAAAAATATTCTGCTGTTATTCTTTTGATTTAGATGATATGTAAAATTAGATGTTTTTATTTATTAGATAATGAAAATTTTTTCCATTCACATGCTCTGTGTACTTCATATAAAAGCTTCTTGTTTGGTTTAGACTAAGATTTTAAGCTGTCTGAAAATTTCTCAGCCTAAATTTGTCACCAACCAGAGCATCTCCGTTAAGAAATATGTGCCCTTGGATAGGGTTCTCCTGCAATACTTGTTTCAATCCCGTTATTGCCAACTCTGCCCTCTATTTTCTTTCCTGTGTTGGATATTTGGGTTCTCATTTTATACTCTAATTCATTCTTGATGGAATATGTTCCTTTAACATTGGTTCAGCATTATCTCGATGGTGTGTCACTCACCGGAAGAAGGCAAAACATATTGTTGAAACATGGGACAAATTATTCAACTCTTCACAGAAAGAGCAGCGCGTTTCTTTCCTATATCTGGCTAATGACATTTTGCAAAATAGTAGGAGAAAGGGCAGTGAGTTTGTGAATGAATTCTGGAAGGTTCTTCCTGGAGCTCTTAAACATGTCTATGAAAGTGGTGATGAATCTGGAAAGAAAGTTGTAACCAGACTAGTAAGTTGTTTATTCAATTAGAAGTTCTTTGTTTTGTTTATTTATTTATTTTTTTCTTGTTGATTCTCTTGAAATGAGTTAGTTACTTTGTGTTTGAAATTGGTGATGGACATGGAAAGAGCATTGTGACCAGAATAGTAAATTCATCATTCAATTATAAGAAGCCTTCTTTTTTTCTTCTGTAGGTTCTCTTTGATCTTGAAATGGCTTAGTTACTTAGATATGGATAATTTGTCAAGTGTTTCTTCCATAATATGGTTAATCACAGTTGCTTCTATGATTCTATCCAAGTGTGTTATCGCTAGAGCTGTTGTTTGTGAAAACTTCCGTCTTGGTTAATTATTTCACCTCCTGTGTACACGAGAAATGATAATTTTATTATACTTGCATATGTATAGTCAATAGATGTTTGTTTCGGTTTATTACAATAATAGGTTTTGGCATATGGGTGTTTTTCTAGTCAACAAGTTCTTGCATATTGTTTTCTTCTGCATTTTACAGATTTGTTTGGTACTTTGGTTCAGTAAGGCACAGACAATAATTTGAGAATTAAAGTGTCTTTGGTTAGATAATGACACTTACTGATGTAATTGGACAAAAATTTATGGGCGTAGTGAAGATGAAAATTCTTTTCATAAAGATGTGAATACTTTTTCAAGATAAATGTGGATTAGTAGTTGTTCTTTGAACTACAACAAGAGGCATAGTCTTGATTGTGTTTGGTAAATCTAATGCCGCCTTGTTATCCATTTAACTTGCTGCATCTCATTGCTTTCTAAAACCTCAAATGGCCACACTGGGAAATTTTGAATATAGGTTGTTTTGATGTTACTGTTTTAGTACAGTTATTTAGTTATTCTCTTTTAAAAACCAATGTTGTTGTATAATTTTGTTTTCATGTATCTTGAATATAATGTTTATATCAATTTCATTAATACACTGGCCAAATGCTTCAGTAACAAGTATAGAAGCATATTTTCTTCTCTTTGGTTGTGCTTTTTTTTTTTTTTTGTTTTGGGGTATGGTATGCTGATTTATATGGTTATTTTCTCAGGTTGACATATGGGAAGAAAGGAAAGTTTTTGGTTCTAGAGGACAGAATCTCAAAGATGAAATGCTTGGTAAAAACCCTTCTCCTCCAGCAGTGAACAATGGAAAGACCTCAAATCCTATCAAGATAGTGAAGAGGGATGCTCAAGCAGTTAGAATTGTAAGCATTTAGATATTTTTTAATGTCTACTTTTTGTATGTGCTTTCAACATAGCCCATTTCGTTTTAATTGGTAATACTTTCTTTTTTCTGTTGTGGTGATATCATTTTGGTTTGGTCATCTTAACTTCAGAAATTGGCTGTTGGAGGATTGCCAGAAAAGATACTAATTGCATTCCAATCAGTGTTTGAGGATTATCCTAATGAGGAGATGGCTTTTAACAAGTATAATGCTTCAATACAACAATTGAGTAAAATTGTGGAAGATGTTGAACATAGTTTAGCTCAAGGTATGGGACCTGCTATGAGGCTTAGTTATTTTGTCTGTTAAAAGTTCCTTCAGATTGATAAAAATATAAAAGGATACTTTTGAGTTGGGGTTAGAATCCATGTTTGTGTTGTGTCGAAGCTGGGTTTTGTGGTTATATGGGCCAACCTGAACACTAGTAGTTATTTGAATCAACTCAAACATGACCTGTTTATAACATTGATAGACGCCATACCATTCATGTAAACCTTTTAATTCATGTATCTTGTTTGAGGGACATGATAAAATGTAACTTTAACCCCTTGTTTAGATGGGCTAATTGTATTAATGCACTTATCAACCTGTTTACACTTGGTTGTAACAAAAATTCAATTCCAAACATTTGAAATCAATTTAAGACGGTTGGTTAAGCTAAAAAGCTGGTCAAATCTGCTAGTAAGCTAAAACAGCTTTGCATGATAAAATTACATCCTATTTCTCTTTTAATTAATTTTTTTTCCAGTTTTAATGGTTGATGTAAATTGAGACATACACATGAAAATGACTTGTTAAAATGACATCCTATTTAAGGTTCTAATTGGTTTTTTTGGTTTCATAGTAACACATCTGTAAAACTGGATCAGTTTATTAGAACTTTCTTTATTTTCTATAGTAAAGCAATGAGAGTAAGATTGTGTGAAAGAGCTTGAGTCTCTTGTTTGTGGCTTATGTAGAACTTATATTCTATTCCATCAAAAGGAATAGTGCAAGTTTACAAATAACTTTAATTGAGCTCTTCATGAATTTTATTGATAAACTTACCGAGCAGCACTAGGGTTGATGTAGATCATTATTGAATGAGCATAAAATCTAGTTAAACAAAGAGGTTGATCCGCTTTAAGCTGGTTGGAGCTATGGATGCTAATAACTTTCCCTTTTGGATAGTTTACAGCAATGTAACAACTTTATTCTGACTCTGTCCACTGGCTTCAAAAAATTACAATTGGGTTGGGAGGGTACCCCAGCTTACTTAATCATCAGCTGAAATTCAGTCCCCTAACATGCTGTAATGATTTTTTTTTCTTTAAATGATTGATCACTCATTAATCGGACATGGAATACATAATTGCTTATTGGTACTTTGGTAGGAGTACTTCTGGTTTGATAATCTATTGATAAGGTTGGTTTTGGGTGAAAGTGATATTCTCTGTATGCCTTTCATGTGTGTGTTAGATCTGCATGTGATGTGACATGTTATTTATTTTTCAATGATCCTCAAGTGTTAGTTTCTGAAGTTGCTGGGCCAATGGTGTCATTTACCTTTTTATGTTTTTGGTCGGTATTGTAAGGGATTATTTTATACTAGTTAAGATGTAAAGCAGGACTCAAGTATGCCTATTGGTTAAAATGTTAGTGTGGGTCAAGTAAATCTTGGGAGTCATGAAGCTATAAGAGAGATGAAGATTCTAAATCTCCATGAAAAATTAAGACAATTGATGCATATGAATTCAAACACATTAAGATGCCTGTGATGATTGTGAGAAAATCTTTGGAAGCTATAAGATGAAGCAGCTGAGTATGCATGAAAGAGTGAAAGTGATTTGATGCTAATTATGTTTTCAAATAAATTAAGATGTATATGGTAATTTAGAGGGAATTTCTCCCTATCTAATCAGCAAGTTCAAATTCCTATAAAATAATGACGGGGAATACCCACTTGAACCATATTCAGGCTTAGAGGTATTGTCTTTTTTAGAGGGTTTGGTACTGAATTTTGTCTAAACTCTTAAAGAGGCCTGTCTTTAAAATGTATATTGTTTTGAAAATTTTAGTTTGTTCTTGTTTTTGATTAATTGGGGACGAGGGTTCACTTTCTTACAATCATTGTGTGATGACTTTAACTAAGACAATGCCTGATCTTGGATTCTATTTGCTTGCTCCAATGGGCATTTTATAGGTACATCAACTTTTTATGCTTCTTACTTTTGTATTTTTTGTTTCCCAGGAGATCAGAATGGATCTGTATTGATTGATGAGCTACAACAGCAGGAAAATACCCTCCAGCAGTGTATTGGACAGCTCGAAAGTGCTGAAACAAATAGAGCTTCCTTGATTGTTCAGCTTAAGGAAGCACTTGAGGAACAAGTACAGTCTGTACATCCCAGAGTATCTTTATAATCTTAAAATCGTTTGGTGTTGATCCTTTTCTGATTTAATGTTTTTCAGGAATCAAAGCTGAAGGTTATTCGTACTCAGTTGCAAGTAAGAATCACCGTCTTCTATATCAACTCCATAAATGTCAAGTATTACAGCAAATGCTAATATCTAATTATTGATGCTAATAATATTTCTGTTAATTTAATTTTTTCCATTTAATTATATAATTTATTATCTATCAACCTCAAATCTCCATCATGTGTTAACATCATGCAAAAAATATATATATTAAAGCTGAAATCAAAAGCAAATGCTAACATCTAACCATCATGTCATAAATTTTTTTTTTTGGTATTAACCCCCCGGTATCCGGAAGCACATTGGACCCTAACTAATCTAGAGTTGAGTTGCTTTAGACCCCATAAAGGGGAAGCTCTCCCAGCGCCTATTTTTCCATTCACTAGACTTGAACTCGAGACCTTGCTTAAGAGGAACTGAGTTGCTTCCACTTGAACTAACAAGTCATATAATGTTCCAATTGGGATTTGCTTCTTAGGTGCTCTTCCTTGTATCATTCCGCAGCTTTTGGATACTAGGCTATTTGATAAAATTTTTGGGAATTGCTTTCACGGAAAGCTCTAGATAACCACAACAGCTTCTGTTAAAAAGTAGGAAGCCCCTATTTGGAGCTTTCTGGCTATAACTTTTAAGGAAACCATTTTAAGCATTTAATAAAATATTTTTAAACTTGAAAATGCTCTTAATTATAGTTAACTCTAATCCTTTCCTTTTTTATTTAAATTAGTTTATTTAGTTAAACTTACCCGCTCTTGTTTGACTGGCCAAAAAGATAATTAAACTCAACTGCAAAGCTCTTTCTCCTTTGCTTGTTTGCAGCTGCATTGTTGTTGGGGTGCTAGGTGGTGCTCTCATGAAGAAGCACCAATAGGCTCTTTCCGGAGCACTTTTTGGTGCTTTGATCTGGAGCAATAGAGTTGCTCCACAGTTGCTCCCTTTTCTTTTCTCTCTCTTTTTTTTTTTTTAATTATTATTTATTTTTATAAATTAAAAAATTTAATAATCATTAAGATAAAAAATATGGTATTATTAATTAAAAATGTGACAACCCTATTTAAATTTGTTTAAAGAGTTTCAATGAACTTATATTTGTATAACTTATACCATTGCCTACACTAATTAATATTTATTTGTATATTTTGTATTTTTCAATTGGCCATTAAATTTAATATTTTATTTATATAAATTTTA